TAAATGATTGCTAGGGTGTGTTGTGCAGGCTCTGGCAAAGTCCAGGCACTGTCCTCTTATAAGAGGCTGTTCTGACCTCAAGATATCTCTGTGTATACAGAAACTGTAGAACGTATTTGCCTCCTAATGAGTGAGAGTGGGAGTTTGTTCCATTTGAAATGGTCAATGGACCTTTTGGGATGTTTGCTGCTTTCATTACAATTGTTGATCTTGCTTCTTGGACCTTGACTGGCCCCTGCTAGTATGAGCTGACCTGCTTTCTGGCTTGGCCCATCCATGCATTGATGGTAGTGCGGGACAGACCCCTTGTTTTGAAGGGAACAATCCACATGCATCTGATGTTTAGTGCTTCTGCAATCCCAGGCCCACCATCTGCTCAGAAATGGAGCAAAATTCTGAAATGTGTTGGTGCAGAGTCTAGAGGGTGTGAGGCCAGGGGTGCTGTCGGAGCACCTTCATCTCCCCATCTTCCTCCCTTTCCTCCCCACCTCACTGAAAAAATGAGGTGCTCACAGGCCTCTCACAGTGCCTCTCCTGCCAGTCAGCCTCCAGCACCCTTCACTTGCAAGCACCCAGACCAAACCCTCTGCAGAGCACCCCAGGGAAGGTGAGGCTGTCTCCTCTGCTCACCTCTCCCTCTGGCCCCAGGAGCAGCAATCTGGGAAGCAGCTGCTGCCCAGACTGAAGATCAGGAATGCTGAACCCACTGTGGCTGAAGGGGCTTTGCATCCCCCTAGCCACAACCTCCTTCAAGTCCCATCCCATCCCCCCTCCACTCAAATTCAAGGTGTGCCCTTCCCAGGGAAGGGGAGAAGAAACCTGCAGAACAAGAGACCCAGGGCAGGAACACAGGATATGCCAATGAGTCCACAGCCAGCTGGGATCCACCGGTCCTTTGGAGCTGCCAGAGGGCAGATGGAACAGCTTTATGGAGCAGGGCAGCATCGCTCTGGGTATGTGGGGAGGAAGGAAGGGAGCCAGGCTGGGCTGGCTCAGGGCTGCAGGGCAGGATGGAGCTGTGCTTGCTGAGCCTGCTGGCAGAGGTTCATGCTGATGGCTGAGGAAGCGGTTAGCAGTGCAGGTTACAGGCCTGGAACAGGAGAGCAGGGTAAGCATGGAATTCCCCTGCTGTTTTCCTCCCCTCTATTGCTGCTGGGGCCATTTCCTCTGCTGAACAAGTTTCTCTTGTGTGAATTGTTTGCATGATTTCCTAATGCTCCACTCAGCCAAAATAAGGAGCTGGGAGCGAACTGTTCCTGCAGACCAGGACCTTATCTAGAGAGGGAGAAAAATTTGTCAAAGCAAATTCAACTGAATACTGGATCCTGTGTCTTAGGTGGTTCTGGAGTGAGATGGTGAAGGGAGAGGCTGCTTTGAGAATGAGGTGTCTTACTCTACAGATGGGGGGATCTGCATTGTCAGACCCTTTCCTAGAGAGATGGAAAAGGATAGTCAGAGAACTGGTGGGACTTTATCAGTTCTGCTTGTGTGTCAGAACTGGGTATCACCCTTACCCTGTTCTCCTGCCTCCAGTCCTCGCGTGGAAACTTTCCTGCCTGACACTTGAGGTCACTCAGAAGCTGGAGATGGACAGCACTGTGGAAATGGATGCTCTCCTGTGCCTAAACTAGGACCAGTTTGGGCCTAGTGGTGTGTTCAGACCAAGGGACATCCCCAGGGATAGCCCCAACCTCTCTGCTCCAGGGTTGTTATCTCTCTGATGACAGCTAGATCGCTTTGTGCCAGGAATGTCCTGTGCCCATGGGACCTTTGTGATTCAGAGTGCCGAATCCTTTTGTGCCAGGATGGAGCTGGTGAGCAAGTGGAAAAGCTGAGAATGAACCCAGCAGTCTGTACTGCTGCCACGTTTCCCCTGCCCACAGCTCCTCCATCCCTTGCCGTTTCTAAAACTCCCTGTTGCCCTTCCTGAAAGTTCCCGCTGGGCACCCACCCCCCTAGCTGCAGCCAGGAGAACTGCAGGGAGGAGCGCGGGGAGGGAGGGAGCAGTCAGAGGGAGGCAGAGGAGAGGCGTGCAGGCAGGCCAGGGAAGGGCAAGGGTCTGAGCATGGCAGGGTGTAGGGCTTGTTCTGGCAAAAGGACGCGGCCGTGGCTGGGTGAGGAGCGGTGTCTGGCAGCGAGCGGGTATCTCCATCGCCACGCCCTGGCTCTGGGGCTCAGCACGGAGCAGCAGCCTGTCAGTGGCTGCCGTGGCACAGAGAGTTGTCCTTGTTGCCTTGGCCAGAAGAAATGGAGACTGGAACGATGCCTGTGCCTCAGGTCTCCTCAGTGTAGGAGGTTTCCTGGGTTAGCAGGAGACAATCCCAATTGCTGGTTGGCATCACAGCCCATGGCACAGGGTGCCTCAGTGCACACGTGCTCTTGGTGGGCTCATCCCAGCCCGCTGGCCTTGCCATGATTAATCTGGGTAGCTCAAGGTTCTTGCAGCCATTTCAGGAAGTTGAGGGCTGGCAATGAGGAAAGGCGGGAACGAATGCAGAAATGAGAGTGCAGGAGGAGGCTGCACGCGGGTGGAGAAGGACGGGGGAGGGGAGAAAACAATCCTTCAAAGCAGGCACATCTCAGCTGCAAGATGAAAGCTTGAGCTCTGACCAGGTGGGGATGGTCACCCCCATCACCTCTGCACCATGGATGCCCAAACTTGCTCGGTGTCAGCTCAGACCCGAGCGACTGCACCGCCTTGTTGAGCTGCGGAGGCATCCAAGCTGGGAAGAGTGAGGTGCCGGCAGTGACAGAGTGCTGCTGGGGGTTTCCATCACCTCCCCAGGGTGACTGCCCCGCTTGTCCCCACGTGACAGTGTGGTGTGGCGTGGGTAGTGGCAGAGGGGCTGGGGGGATTCCTGGGGTACAAGGGCTGGCTGATGTGGAACGCAACCCTGGGCACTGCTTTCTCCCCTGGGAGCCCAGAGTAGCTCTGGAAAGTGAAAGCAGCAGCGGTTTAAAGTTCAAGCTGAATTGCCTCGGAAAGTCCCCTGTCTGAACAGTCTTATCTCTGCCATACCTGTAAAAGGCAGATCCTGTGGCCTCCTTCTGCATGTGGTGCCTGGGAGCGGGTTTGGAGAAACAGGGGCTGTCCCTGCAAGTGGGCAAAGGACACCTCAGCACAGGTGCTGCCACAGGGACTGAGGACCTGATGCAAAACCAAGCAGGGAATCTCCCTGTTGGATCATACCCAGGCTAGGGTCAGTGAAAGCCTGATGAGGGGAGGAGTATTCTTGCAGCTGGTCCCCTTGCTCCTGGCCTGGGCCCCTTGGCTGTGCCTCTGCCCCACAGTCCCCCGTGGGTGGTCAGACCTTGTCCGTGGGGCTGCATGGCCCCTGCTCGAAGCCCCCTCCCCTGCCCTGGGAGTGCTGCTGGTGAGGGGGCACCCCATGGCTGTGCAGAGGCAAATGTGGGTGGGTGGCCTCTCCTTCCAGTGGGGAATTCCCTGCTGCAGCATGACCTGGGGCTTCCCCGGGGACAAAGCCTCTCCTGTTGGATACAGCCTCTCTCCTGGCAGCAAGGTGGAGAGAAACTTGTTTTGCCGTCAAAACTCGGGCTTAGCTGAAGGTCCCTGGGGTTCCAGGTGCTGGCTTGGCCTTTGAGCAGCACTTGGAAGGAGGTGAATAAAGGACATTTTTGGGGACTGGCCTCTGAGCTTCTCAGCACAATCAAATCCTCACTGCAACTGGCGAGAAGGCAGCCCCAACCCTTCTTTTTTTCTGCAATGTTTAAGGTGTTGCTCTCCTGTCTATAGAGGGATGCTCTCTGTCCCCCACAACGCAGGTAGCATCCCAAAGCTGGGCTGTCCAGCAAGCAGATTGTCTTGCCAAGACTGGCACAGCTCTCACCCTCCATCCCTTGGCCCTGCCTGCCTCAAACAAAGCTGCTTAGAGCTCAGCCTTTAGTTTGGAGCTGATCCCTGCCAGAGACAGGCTACCCAGGGCCCCCAGCATAGCAGTGAGGAGGTGGCAGGAGGCTCAGCTCGTGCCTGCCGTGCTCTTCAGAGTGGGAGCTGTTGCCTGCTCCTTGCTGCTGCCCACCATGGCTAAGGTCAGCCCAAAGGGGCTGCCCTGTGGTGGGAGGATGCCTGATGCCAGGGGGCCCGGAAGTGCAGCAGGTTGGCGGAGGAGACTGGAAATTCCCTCTTGCCTCTGCCTCCATTGTGCTCTCATTTCTGTTCTGACTGTGAAGGGGCCGGCTGGAAATAAAACTTCTCCTTGGACTGTGGGACTCCGGGCTGCTCAACCACCCCGTGGCTGTGAGGACCATGGTCCTGAGGACTAGGGCTCCCTGCTGGCCACCAAGCTCTGACAGCTGCACCTCTGGTGTCCCTCTAAGCTGGCAGCTGCGTGCCAGCCCTGCCACAACTATGCTGGAAGGAAAGGATGTGGGGGAGAGAAGAGGAAATCGGTGTGGACCAGCAGATCAGGTGGCGTGGGGGCTGTGCCACAGAGGTGATCTTGGACTAGCACCAGGCTCCTGCCCAGCTATGGCTGCTTGCCTTCAGGGAGGAGAAAGCAGAAGTACAGTGCACAGCTGGAAGTAGGGAACTGGAATTCCCCGGGCAGCTGCCAGAGCCTAGACCTTCCTCCACAGCTGCCAAACCTGTCCCATGGGCTCTGGGAAACACATCCCAGGCTCTGGACCTGCACCAGTTGGAGGCCTGGCTTTGCATAGTGGCAGGTCCAAGCCCCATGCGTGCTGTGAGGTCCCAGGGAGGACTCTGCATTGCTTAGCAGGGTCAGGAGGGGCTGTTCCCTGTGGGGATCAGAGTGAAGGACTGCCCTGGAGAGCCTCAGGCCATATTTGTGCCTTGGCCTTCTGCTGAGCTTCCCCAGGGAGAGGGCAGAATGGAGGAGCTCTGAGCTGGTGGGAAGGGGATTGGAGGAGGCAGAGAGATTATTCCTTCATGCAGCAGTGAAGGATCTCCACTCCTGAGCATGGCACTCGGGACTCATTTTTTGTTTTTGTTTTCTCCTGTCCCCTTTATCCTTCCACAGGTTGGTTCATCTGGCCATTATCCACTGTGTCCCAGCTGTAGCACTCTGCTGCATTGCTCAGCTACCCAGGGAGGTGCTGGAGATACAAAATGATCTTTTCCAGGTATGCAGTTGTGATAGGCAGAAGATGGGAGGAAGGGAGATGCCGCAGGCAGTTCCCTGGGTAGACACCCAATCCATCTGCCCTTTCCCCCAGACCCCCCACCTGCTCCCACATGAGCAGCTCCTTTGCAGGGAGGGGAAGAAGGGTGGTGGAGACACCCTGAGAGAGAGGTGTGACAGCTCCCAGCACTGTGGGATGAAGGGTCTTTTGCAAAGCCTCAGGACACTGCAGACAACCCCAGAGGGTGGGAGCAGGCACAGCTTGAATGTGGATGGCAGTGTAGATGGGAGAGTGAGATGTGTCCCCATGGGTGATCCCTGAGCTGAGGTGCAGGGGACAGCAAACCATTGGCACCTCCCCCAGTGTCCGCCACGCATAACCTCAGGACAGGGATGGGGCTCTCCTGCATGGCAGCCTGTGCCGCCAGGCTGGCTCCTGTAGACTGGTGTGGCTCATCACATCTGGTGTCCTGTGGGGCATCCTCCCCTTACCTAATTTCTCTCCAGACCCCGCTCCATCTTGCTGTGTACCTGGAGCAGCCCCGCGTGATCCAGGCACTGATCCACAAGGGAGTGAACCCCGGGCTGCAGGACCGCAATGGCAACACCCCGCTGCACCTGGCCTGTGAGCAGCAGCACCTGCAGTGCGCCCAGCAGCTGCTGGAGAGCACAGCCCCACCGGAGGGCACAGCTCAGCCCCACAGGCACCACCAGGACCTGCAGCTCCAGAACTGGCAAGGTGAGACCTGGGGTCAACCCAGTGCAGAGCTGGTGGCCAGGTTGGGGCAGAGACCGTGACTTGTGTATGCAGGGATCCTGGAGCACAGCAGAGCGAGCATGCAGCCATGATTGGTGTGCCATGGGGTGGTCCGGGCTGACTGTGGCTTTCTCTTCTGCCTCTCCATCACAGGCTTGGCCTGTCTCCACATCAGCACCTTGAAGGGGAACATCCCAATGATGTCTCTGCTGCTGGAAAGTGGTGCCAACATCGATGTTCGGGTAAGACTGGGTATGGTGTGATGTTTTGGCAAGGCTGGGCCAGTGTGTCTCTCCCTTGGGCACTCCCTTCAGCCTTGAGGCAGGCACTGCTGTGAGGCTTGAAGGCACTGAATTTTGAGAGAGCAGAGAGTAAAGGTCCTTGAGGGGCTCATGGGTGCTATAACAGCAGTCAGGGTGGGGACTGCCCCCTCTGCACCTTGTCAATGGGGTGTCGGGTGGGTGCTGTGGGGCCCAACTGAGGGGCCCCGCACCCACACCCTTGTGATCTGCGGGTTGCAGGAGGGCACGAGTGGGAAGACCCCCTTGCACCTGGCTGTGGAGTGCCACAACCGCAAGGCTGTCCAGTTCCTGCTGCGCAACGGGGCGTATGTGGATGCCCAGATGTATAATGGTTGCACCCCGCTCCACCTGGCTGTGGGCCGCAAGGATGCTGCCATTGCCGCCATCCTCTCACACTCTGGGGCTGACACTCTGCTGAGGAACATGGAGAATGAGACAGCCCAGGACCTGGCTGATGGCAATGATGATGTGAGTCTCTGTGGGGGGAGGCCTGTGGCTCTGACAGCTGGTCACGGGGTGCAGGAGTTGGATGATTTGGGGGGAGCTCCTAGGAGGAGTTTGCTGCTGTTCCCATCCTTCCCTATAGGGTGCAGGCATTGGCTCTGGGGGTGTGTGGGAAAACTGCCTTTTGCCTCAAGACTTAGGGAAAGCCCAGACAGGGTTTCTTTGCACTTCCCTAGGGAGGTGGGCGACCACAGTACTGGGTGGGGGAAAGGTTTGGGCCCCTACTCCAGCTCGCTAGAGACACAACCCCCGATCCTTACATGTCCATACCCTTGGCTTCTGCAGCTCCTCGCCTTGCTGCCCTTCGATGACCTGAAGATCTCAGGGAAGCCTGTTGTGTGCTCTGAATGAGCAACTGGACTCCTTTGGCCCATTGGGCTGCCTCCTTGCTCCGTGCTGCTGCCTGCTGGAACCTTGCCTGCCTGCAGTTCCGTAGGAGCAGAGTCACTCTGGGAAACTTATTCCCCTGCCCCTCTGCTCTTTGGAAAAGTTTTGTTGGCCTCAGGCTGCCTTCCCAGACAGAAGAAAGTGGCATTTTGAGCACTACACAGGGGAGGCTTTTCTTTCAGTATCTGTACACTGCAGCAGGACTGAATTTCCCCTCCTGGCCGTGGGCCTGACTTGTGGGGGTCTCCAGCATAAAAAGGGAAGGAGCAGGAGAGGACTCGTTTTCACACTGATGGAGCATCCTCTGGCACCCCCAAACGCCATCAGAATAAGTGTGGGGTGAGGAGAGTCTACACTCACTCTAATAAATGTTTGTTGTTGCTGTGGGCACCAGAGGTCTCATGTGATCTAACCCATCCTGCACCCCCACAGCATCAGGAGGCTGAGCATTACGCCAAGGGCCACGGACATGAGGGCTGCAGGGGTTTCCCCCATCTGCCCACTCCCTCGGGTCCTTTGCACCACAGAAGGTGAGTAGGAGCGCAGGGGCTTCCCCACTTGCAGAACCTTTCTACTGCTCAGGGCCAAGACTGGGAGATCCCAGCCTGGTGCTCTATTCCCATGCTGTGCTGTCAGGCTGCAGGGCTGAAGAAAGATTGTAGGAAATGCCGGAAGACCAGGTTATGGATCCCTGCTTCTGCTGTTGTGCCTGACATCTTGCTGCTTTACCATGCTGTGGTTTCCTCTTTCGCAAAGAGGACAAAAGATCCTGCCCAATCTCCTGGCTTGAAAGGGTATTAAAAACTTACAGCATGGGTCTTCCCTGGGTTTTAGATTCCCCCAGGCTGAAAGTGGACAAGATGGCAGTATTATCTTCATGCAACATCCTTTCTGTTGTTCAGCTCACCACCCTTCTTTGCCCCCTCTCCAGCCAGAGGAGCACGTGTGATGCACATGCGATGCATTACGAAACCAGCAGCCAAAGGTGCTGTGGGAATGGAGGCATGGAGCCTGCCTGACCCCACCTCAGCCGGGGAAATTCCCCTCTTGTTGCCTGGGAGCAGCTGCTGTTGTTTTGGACAAATCCTGGATGACGCAATTGCCCGAGATGCTCTGGAGTGAGCCTTTGTCTTCTTCCTCCCTTCGTGTGAGGGAATGCTGCCACAAAAGCAGCGCAGGCACCCCCCCCGGGCTTCTCTGGAGGGTCTGGTCTCTTCAGCAGCCCTGGGCTGGATTGCGTTTGTTTTGAATCTTTACCTCTCACCTTCTGGCAGGGCCTCAACCCTGCTGCAAACCCGTGCGGCTGCTTCAATGCCACCTTCACAGGGGACATGAGGCACTCCTGGATTGCTCAAAGCAGGAATGACAGGTGCTGCAGGGCAGAGTGGGATAGTGGGGCCAGGGCTGCAGCTGGGAGCGAAGGAAAAAGGCAGAAGCAAGTGATGTGCACCTTTTGTTATTATAAAATAAAACCATTTGTTTTAAAAAGATGTCTTGTGAACCATTACTGGGTGGCCATCTGACGGCTGCAGCAGGCCCTGTAGCCATGCCCGGGGCCGGGATGGGGGTGCAGGGCTGCAAGGACCGGGTGGACATGGCCCCCATCCTGCCTCACAGTGCCCAGACAGTGCCTGCCATTGGAAGCAGCTGTGGCGTGTGCCTGGGGCAGGGCTGGGAGGGGGAGCCTGGTAGGGTTCAGTTTCAAGGGCTTCTGGCTTGAATCAGGAATAGTATGACCATCAGGACTAGGGCAGTGATCGTCCCCCTGCATGTGTGAGGCCACACCTTGAGTCCTGTGTCCAGTTCTGGGCCCCTCACTTCAAGAAGGACACTGAGGTGCTGGAGCATGTCCAGAGAAGGGCAATGGAGCTGATATACGGTCTGGAGCACAAGTCCTATGAGGAGCGGCTGAGGGAGCTGGGGTTGTTTACTCTGGAGAAAAGGAGGCTCAGGGCTGACCTTATCACACTCTACAACTACCTGAAAGGAAGTCAGCATCTTCTCCCAGGTAACCAGCAGGACAAGAGACACAGCCTCAAGCTGTGCCAGGGAAGGTTTAGGTTGGACATTGGAAAGAATTCCTCTTCAGAAAGGGTGATGTGAGATTGGCTCTTGTCCATTGTGATGGACTGCCCAGAGAGGTGGTGGAGTCACCATTCCTGAACATGTTCAAGGAAAGACTGGACGTGGCACTTAACTGCCATGGTGTGCTGGTTTAAAGGTAAACCAGCAGGGGAAATGAACTCAAAAGAGAGATTATAAATCAGAATAACAATTTAATAAAATAATACAATAAGTACGATTATACAGAAAAACAATTGGTTTTAACCCACAAAACCCAAACGTATAACCCAGCACCCTGGGGCATGAACAGAGTGGTGTTCTTTGGGCCCCCTGAGTCCAAAGTAAAAGGAGAGGGGAAAACCTGTTGGTGAGAGTGCTGTTGCAGTCTGGTCAAGAGTGGTGTTTGCAGTCTGGTTGAAAAGTGGTGGTTGCAGTCCAGTCGAGGGTGGTGGTCTGCAGTTTGGTTGAGAGCGGTGATCTGCAGTCTTCCTCTGGATCCCACGAATGGTTAAAAAGGTCCCAAGACTCCAAGATTATATATCTTCCAGTTCAGGCAGGAATGCCTAGTACCTCCCTCAGGGCTGGGGGTTCCTTAATGGGTGTGAGGACAAGAGCACTCTCCTATCTCGCAGGCCTCTTAACACCTAGTTTATAGCCTGAGGAGTCAGGCTCTATGTGCAGATAGTGTAAATGGTTCATTGATAACAGTTTCTGGGAAATGGCATGGAAGGCTATAGAATACACAGTTTTGGGTTACACCCATCCAGTGATGAACTGGCCTCAGCTGTCCTAACTAGGACACATGGTCTGTTTGACATGGTGATGTTCGGCCACAGGTTGGACTCGATGATCTCAGTGGTCTTTTCCAACCTAAATGACTCTGTGACTCTGTGATCCCGTCATCCCGGCCACCTCTCCGCCGGCTCCCGCCCGCCCCGCTCCTCCCGCCGCGGCCCCTCCAGGGCGGCAGGGGCCGCTGTGGGGCGGGAGCGCACCCGCCGGGCGGGGGTTCCGCCGCCGCCGGGAGCAGAGCCGAGGGGAGCCGGCCGGGACCGGGGCCAGGCCGGAGCCGGGGCCGGCCTGCAGGTGGGTTGGCGAGGCCGCTCCGGCGTGGGCGCGGAGGGTGAGCCGGGCCGCGGGCGGCAGCTGCCCCGCTCGGCGGGCGCGGGCGAGGGCCGCCGCCGCGCTGCCGGGCCGCTCTCTGCGAACGTGGCCGCCGGGCGGGGAGGCGACCCCGGGGCCACGATCGCCCCGCACCCGGCCGGGCGCTGCGCTGCCTCTCCCGCGGGGCTGGTCCCTGGGCAGAAGCCGCCGGAGCCTTGGGGCAGAGAAGCCCTGGAGCGGCAAGCGGGGTCCCCGCTGGGCTCTCTCCTCCCGGGATCCCCGGTGTCGCCGCGGGCGGGGGGCGCGGACGGTGCCCCGGGGCGGCAGGGAGCCGGAGCCCGGTGCCCCATTCGTGGCCCCTGGGTAGAGGCGGCGGTCGGCCCTGGGAGGACAATGGCAGGCGCTCCCTGCGGCATGGCTGCGTGCAGGGGCAGGGACAGAGAGCACACACGAGATCTCGAGCTCTTAGCGGGGGCCGTGGACTTGTCAGCTCCGGGCTTGGATTTGACCTCAGCCCTTCCAGGCGCTGGAGACGCGCTCAAGAGTAGCAGGGCTGTAGGCAGGGATCCTTTTCATTCCCTGGGACCCAAATTTTGCATCCCAGGCAGGGGGCTGGGTGCCAGCCCGGCTCCGAAGCGGTGCCTTTCAGAGCTGTCCTGCCTGTGCCCAGGCGAGCAGCGGCCGGGTCTGTTGTCTCGCCTCCCAGGCTGTTCCCCAGGCCCCAGACTAAGGCTCCTTTCATGCCTCGCACGCCGCCTGCTCGGCCCCCCCGCTTTCTACCTGTAACACTGGCGTCCCTGTTCCTTCCCAGCCTCGTCGGGGAGGGCAGGGCCTGCTGCACTGAGTCAGCTCTCGGGGCCTGGGAATTGCTAGCGCAGGCATAGAGAGAGCCATTGTCCCTCCATAGCCTCCTCTTCACAGTCGCTGTGGGAGAGCTGAGCTGGTTCTCCTCCCATGGCAGCGCTGCGGGGGCCGGTGGGATAACAGCAGGAGCAGTCGTGCTGATGGAGCTTACGGTCCCTGTCAAGTTGGAGACGTGGCCCTTGAGTGTAGCAACCGACCCTGTCACTTATATCTGACTTCTGCAAAAGCGAATGGCATTTCTGCACCCTGCCATCAGCCAGGGCTACTTAATACAGGCAAGCCCAGGAGCACGTGGGCAGCTTCAACTCCAGGTGCCAGTACCAAGCGGTGTTCTTGCATCCCACAGCACCTGTACAGCCTGCAGTGGTGCCCCTGCAGCAGGAGAGTTGGGGTGGAGGCGTCAAACTGTCTTTTCTTGGGGGGAGAACAGGAAGGAAATAGAAAGCAGGCACAGAAATCCACCTCCGTGCACTTCTTCCTGGGCTGGGAATTTGTGTCCTTTAAGTCACAGGAGGGAGATTTCTAGGTGAAACACAGCCTTGGCTTAGATCAGGTTGTTGGACTCCAAGGGCCTGGCTGCAGCAGCTGAGGATAAGAAAAGCCCCGGAGGCCTTTCCCAAGGGGACAAGAAGTTGGAGGGGAGGGCTTGCACATGAAATGGCAGGGGACTTACTTGCCTTTAAAGCTCTTAAGTTTGTAAATCTCTGAGTTTTGTGGGAGGGCTACCAAAGGTCACGGCTATACAATATTTAAACGAGGTACACCCCTAAACAGGGCCTAAATTCCTCTGACTCACTTGTTTCTGGGGGAGGAGGAATTAACATCTCTAGCCCTTTCAGTCCCGGGAGCTTAGAGTTTTTCTGGTGTGCATTTATGTAGCCAGCCCACAGCACACTTACCTGGCCCCCAAGGCAATTAAGATGCTTTCTCCACTGGGGAAACTGGGCATGGATGGAGCATGGACCAGGGAGACCTTCTACCCTGATGCAGGAAGTTGCAGCTTGGTGTGTGACGGGAGGATGCAGGTGGCCTTGGGTATAGGAAGTTCTTGCCTGGTTGCTCATTCTGTTGAGTACCTGGTGCCCCTGAATATTGCAGGTTTGCCTCTGTGGAGGGAAGAACTCCTTCAAGGACTATTCAAGCTGTTTTAAAGCTAGCTAGGTCACTTCCTGTAGCTTTAACGGAAGAATATCGGCTATACCTTGTTAGATAGTCCTGGTAAAATTCTAACCAGCTAGCTGCCAGGAAAGTTCCTTTCCAGCCTTCCTTTCTGGCTGTGTTTTGGTAAGTGGGTGAACTTTCATAATTTCCCCTGAGCTGTGGGGAATGCCTTGGTATGCTGCCTTCCAGGGCTGCATGGAGAAGTGGAGGAGGTTGGCAGCCCAAACCTCTGCCTCTTCTCCACTCACCTGGTGCAGCTGGAGGGGAAAGCTCTGAACTATTTGCTCCCAGGCGAAGGTTGCTCATGGCCACAGGCTTGAAACATGAGCTGCTAGGTAGGAGTTGATTTTTCCATTCAGTGACTTTTTCTTTTACCACCCAAGAGCTGTGCTAAAGTTTAACCTATAAAGGTGAGGTGTGAGGTATGAGGTGCTCCTTGCATTTGAAGTAAGAGTGTTGTCAAAAGGAGATGGTTACAGCAGTGTTCTCTCTAAGCCTGAGAATCCAACGTTCTAAGTCCATGTGTTCCAGAGCAAACACCTTTAACAGAAGCGAATATAGATGCCTGGCCTGTGCTTTTTAAATCCTGAGGGCTTTTGCTACTCCACATGCTGCCAGCATCCCTGTTGTCGCTGAGGTGGGGTCTGGGTGCTGCCTGCTGGTGGGGAGGTATTACAAGCATGCAGAGTGGAGCTGCCCATGTACCAGTAGCCCGCCACCTGCCTCTTCCTCTCTCCACAGATTTTGCCTTCCCCTCGTGCTGGCTTCCCTCCCTGCAATGGCTACTGGTGAAGAGATCGCCCCTGCCCTGCAGGACTCGTGGGGGGACTTCTGGCTCTTCCGCTTCTTTGTTAATGCTGCTGGCTACGCGAGTATTGTGGTGCCGGGATTCCTCCTCATCCAGTACTTCAAGAGAAGGAACTATTTGGAGACAGGTAAGGACAGGAGCTTCCCTTCCACATCCTGCCTCCCTCTGAGCTCTCTGCACCTCCTTGGTCTGCCCTGCTCAGTTTGTTTCCCTAACCTGCTTTGTCAGACCAGGCTTGAGCCGCTCACAGAGCTGCATCCCAGTGCTGTCGAGGTGTTACTCTGAAACAAATTTCTCTGAGGCCCGTGTGCCAGCAGATCTGGAGGCTAGTAAGGAGGGAGGCTTCACCTCTTAAGCTGGTGCAGCTGGTGATGCCCAGGCTGTGGTTAATTACAGAATTGTGGAATACGCTGAGTTGGAAGGGACCCACAAGCATCATTGTGTCTCTGTGTTCTCTTACCCTATTCAGGCCGAGGCATTTGCTTCCCT